GCGTCATCAACTAGGGGTAGGAAAAAAAAAAATTAAAAAATTCGCAACACATTTCTTCAAATATTGTTAGTGTTAGTAATAGCTTTACCGTTTACCGTAAAAGATTTTGATTTTTTTGATTTGGAAAAAAAAAATAGTTCCCGCAACTTCTCCTACCCGAAAAAACGATCCTGAACGATTCTCATACATTCATTCTCAATTATTTCCCGAGGTAGATATTTAATCTAACAAACACATAAGCACATCTATACCGACAAGGCCTATCAACCGTAAATAGTATATAAAATGATTTCCTTTTTTTATAGCACATTTTATAATTTTAGTAATAAAAAATAAATAAAAAAAAATACAATTCATAGTTAGTTAGCCTTGGATAGATAGTACATCTCCGAAAAATGTTAATGTGTAATGAACAATAAATATTGAAATTTGGTTTTACTTCGACCCGCCTAATGCGATCGTGTGTATCCCATAATGATGACAATTTTGACTTAAATACAATAACAATAAACACATTTTTTCAATTAATTTCTTCATTTTGTTTTTTCTCTCCCTCTCTCTATCTCTCTCATACACGAGAATAAAACGTAAGAAATACTCATGATATAACGCATACATAAACATGTTTAACAAAAAAAAGGCTGTTTGTAGTAATTGTAAAAAAAACATTATTATTGAATATAAATTAAAAGTTTTACATTAAAAAAAAAAATAAATAAAAACAAGAAAAACAGAAAAAACAGAAAAAATTAATATTAATAAAAAGAATACCCTTCTGTCTGTATATAATATATAAACTAATGTAGTATGTACTTGTGTGCCGTAGTTTAGTCTTTATTGATAATGTTTAATATATTATTAGGCTTTAAACGTAATTATATGTAAATGTCTTCTTTTATGTAAGTAATTCTGTCTTGATTTTTTTGTTTGAAAAAAAATAAGAAAACAAAACAAAACAAAATTAAAAAAAACTCAACAAACAATTATATAAATATATCAGACATATACATATATATATATGTTATATATGTATGTACATACATATATATTTTTTTTATAATTAAATCGGATACATATATGTATTTATATATGTATATATATATATATATATATATATATGTGTGTGTGTGCGTGTTTGCGGTTGTATATATATATATATATATATATGCATATATTTGAATGGACATTTCCGTTACGTACATATAGATATTCCATGTTATCGGATGCAGCTTAAATATTGGGAATATCAGCCTCGAATCCGTCTGACCCAGTCCAAGTTAAGTGGGCCTATCGCCCTGCTTATGAAACCATTTATTTATATTCAGCATTTTAGAAGCAAAGTTTACTAATTTCTTCATTTCTCATATTTGAAATACTTTGGTGACCCCATGTCCCATGTTTGCTCTCGCAACTCTTGCGATCACATTTACTAAGATAAATAGTCTGCGATTAATGCAAGTTGATGCTTACAAAAATCAACATTTACTATTTCCCGTTAGCTATTTGCTTTCATCTAAATGAAATCTATATAGAATGAAGTCTACTTGTACGATACGCGTTGATCATCATTTTTGGATTTGATTTTGGAACGGAATACCTTTTAAAACAATTTATTCACTTTTTTTTGAAATCAAAGATCAATTTTTTATTTATTTTGTTTTTGGCGAAATTCTTAGATCGTATATATACATATATATATATATATATATATATAAAGTTTTAAAAGACAATGTATGAACTCATGTAGGTAAAGAAATGTAACTCATTTTTATGTACATAAGAGGAAACAATGATCCATAAAAAAACAAAAAAATCCTTCAAAATCTCATTTGTAAAACTGTGCAAAGTTTTACGATATTCGCTTATATGTATTTAATAATCATACTTGTAATCATTTCTCTCATACTCATCAACGCATTTACATCAAATTTTATTACTATTGTTCAGTTATTCTTGTAAACAATTGAAAAAAGATTTTTTTTTTTTTTTACATAAAATCAAAACACGGACACAAACGCACACACACACACACGCACATATGTATATATATATACATATATAAATAATTAATTATATATATATATATATATATATATATATATATTCGAAAACATTTAATATTATAAATAAAACGATGTGTTGCTAAAATTTTGGTCCCTTATAATCAACAATTTTCGTATACCTTGTGTGCACTTCATATTAAAATTAGAAATTTCAAAAAATTGAAAAAAAATTTTTAAAATGTATAAAAATACGCAAAAAAGAAAGTTTAAACGTGTAAAAAACTTATAAGAATAATAAACAATAAAATTATGATATTAAGAAAACAAAACAAACAAACAAAATCGAGGCGTTTTTAATTAAAGCGAGGACAGCAAAAGTGCTGAACAGTCAGTCGCACATTACAACTCATTCCTCAGCATTTCAGCACTTCTCTTAGTTCTTGCGACGGGAATTTAGAATCTATTTTTGATACAGGACAACGAATACCTTAATGAACTAGTTCACAACAATTTAAAAAAAAAAATAAAATAAAAAAAAAACAAGTAAGAAAATTAATTTCGATCGGGACCGAATCTTTTATACCCATCACCGTTTACACCTAAAAGAGGCACATTGGGGTTGTAGGCGTGTCCTTTGAAAAGTTTAGCTCAATTTCAAATTCTTTTGCAAATTTGTCGGCGATAGCTTCATTTCCGCTAACCGGAGACTATTTATCACAAATACCACAATGTTGCGCAAACAGACGGACAGACGGACAGACGAACAGGCGGACAAGGGTTGGTGGATTGGGGAGCTGAAGCTTGTTTCAGCTTGTTGTGAAGGTATTAAAAAAATAATTAAAATTTAATACACTATAATACTCCTTCCAAGTCTGCAAAATTAAAAAGTAAAAAATGCACTTTTTGTCTGCATCCATCATAGGTTGCCATAGGTTGACATCGATCTTCTGGACTAAACTCGAGAATGGACAGCACTGAATGAACTACTAATCGCGAGAGAGGTGAACCTCATCGAATCATCAATAAATCAACAACAAACATCAGACAAAAGCCAAACCTTATCTTATGATTTTTACTGCCCCTATCAACTTTTAGCCCATACGAAAGACCGTTGTTAAGAACTGTCCACGTATTTGGCTATGATGGGCTATTTGTTAACAGGTCTTAAATTTGAAGTATATTCTTATTCATTCCGCCAACTGATTGATTTAGTCAAAATCGTGAAATAGGAATGTGCAGCTTTAGCCGTATATATGCTTGATGCTTAGATCAACTTGAAAAATAAATGTGAGTCGCCGGTCACTCCAACGTCAATCGCTCAAGAAACTATAATAATCACGGATATATTAAATATTGTAATAATCTACACAGTTCACATCAGATTGATCATCATCATCCTCATTGATCGGATTAAGAAAATTATGAATAATATCTGATTGTTCCTATACCCTATACCATAAGTGGTGCAGTCGTAAAAGGGCTCGCCTTTTATTATACCGATCGATTCAGAATCGAATCGTGAATTGATCTAGGCCTGTACGTCCGTCTCGTCGTCTGATCCTTCTCCATGTAAGATTGTGTTCAAGCTATCGCTCGCAATTTTGAGATATTTTGGTAAAAAAAAGTTGGTACAGTGACGAACGCTATTGAAAATGTTTCGGATCGGTCTACTTTTTCGACCACTCAGCTAAAGTGGCTTCCTGATGAAAATTACATCATAATAATAATTTCATACAAAAATGAACTCAACAAAATTTGGACCACTCACCCCTATTTTTGGATCCTACCCTATGTAAAAATTAAACTTGTACTACATTAGATTGTGTTTTGGGCCCGCTTCCCCCATAAATATGCAACACAAAAAACATGCCTTTATATAGAAACAAGATAAAAATTAGAATTGTATTAGAAAATGTGGCGTAGGGGTATTCCAAGATTCACCTTGCCCGCCTATAATATTCTTACTTGCTCGTACTTTTAATGAAAAATCTAAAGTGCCATAAATTTTTATCTGTTCGCTTGATTTATAAATTTGATATCTGAAACGGTATAACACACATGTCCATCATAGCGACATCGTGTCATATTGAAGATAATGTGTGTAGAAACATTTCATATTATTACAATGCGTATTAATCGAAATAGTTTCCATCATTTCTTGCGACATTTTACAATATTTCGCGCCAATATATGGCGATATCATGTCGAAACTCATATTGGTTTGGCAGCGATCCACCCACCGGCCCATTTTCGGAATTAGTTCGCAATTAAGTTTGACGACCCGCGTGTCAGCAAAGCCATACTGCACCGATCTGAATAAGTAGTAATCAGGGGGCGCCAGGTCTGGCGAATACGCTGAGCGTGGCAGAACTTTCCATTCGATCTGCAACAGTCTATCCTGGACAACTCTTGCAACATATGGCCAAAAAATGGCATTTTAAGTCAATTCATGTCGCCACTTTTAAACCGGTGCAGCACCGGGCCGCTTCTAAAAGTGTTTGATGGGCTTCGGGAGCAGATTTCTACGCATAAACAAGAAAAGTAATGAAGTTGAAAGGCTACGAATTTTGAGCGCTCCATGACTAGCGTCGGTGTACCCTCGATAAATCAATAATATTAAATGGAGCAACTTTTATTTTATTTTATTTAAGGAACCACACAACCGTCAAATTTGACCGTTATATACACTGGCATTTTCCGTTTCTTTATCATTTTTATCTGTGGAAGTCGCTGCTCAAAATTTTTGCAAGCACGCAATAACTCGTAATTGCTACGCTTGATAACCCAAACATTTCAATGAACTTTTATCTTAATTATTACTCAACAGTTTTGATTTTTTTTAGAATTAAAAAAAAAAAAAAAAAAAAAAAAAAAAAAAAAAAACGCTTTTTCATAAAGGAGTGCCTTGAGCAAGCCAAGCCGCCTTTTATATTGAGAAATAATTATAGTCGTTAATCACTAAAGTGAATAAATTTATTTTAGCTTTTTATTAAACTTAAGCAAAAATCTCACAAAAGAGAGTAAATTACATTGTTTATGATAAATTTTGTGCTTACAATTTTCAAGCAAACAAGAAGGCATACAAACAAGTGCCAAATTTCTGTGATTAAATGTCTTAATGGCTCAAAATAGCCAGCAGTCAAATGTCGATGAAATTACTAACAAAATTCTGCACTTTAAATCCATCCAGTTCCCGTAGTAAAGGGGAACTTTTGCGCTGCAGGCGAGCGACCGCAGAGACTGGCGCACCGTCTGTATATTTTTACAAGCCATCTTCGTCTTTAAAAATGCTTAACAATACTTATGAAGGGAAAACACACACACTTTTTTTAGCTTAGCTTATTTAACATAACCTCAAAGAAAGTTTTTTGTTTTGTTTTGTTTTATTATTTTTTTTTTTTTTCTTTCTTGATGGTTGATCACTTATACTGTAGATTCACTTAAATCTTTTGGTTCTTCAGTAGTTGCTGCCGACATGCCAGCCCCCATGGCGTTAAGTAAATGTGTAACGGGCCCAGCACCGCCAAGCTGAGATTTATAACTATCCATCATACTTTTCAAAGTATTTACATTTATGTTGATTGGCTCAAAGGCCTCAATATCATCAAAATCATCATCATCGGCATCGGCCGCCGAAGAACTTGTTTTCGTTTTTATTGTTCTCTTCTGCTGAGTGGTGACAAACGTTTGGCCTATAGTTGTTTTTGCCAACTCTTTATCCATTTCGTCCATGTAGGCTTTAATATCGGCATCAATTTGACGATCTGCACCAGCCATAGATGAGAAATTGTGTTCGATATCATCTTCATCCTCATAATCGCTCATTTCAGATTGCGAGTCCCAAGTATCTTCCGGTATAGTAAATTCCAAGAAATTACGTACTTGTGTACTAAAACTTTCATTCTGCTCTGATACCGGCAAACTAGTCTCCAAGGGATTTTGTCGACAAGCTTTACGCATTGACAGATTTTTCTTAACTTTGGCTCCGAATTTTTCCGTTTTATTAATCTTAGGCTCTTCATCGTTGCTAGTAACGTCATCTGAGTCTCTTTCGATACCTTCAAAGGCGGACTGCTTCTCTAAAAATTCGGAGATATTTTTCGTAAACTCTTCAGCATTTAAGTCACCATTCGATTTGTAAATTTTTTTAGGACCATAACGATCCACGAGCATAGCATCCAGCTCCTCTACACTAACATTAAGCCAATCATCAGGATCGCTGAGCTAAAATAAATTTTCAAAAAACATAAAAAATCAATACACTTTTTTGAAGCAAATCTAAGTTTACTTTTAAATTATTTTCCTCATCCCTCAGCTCGTCCGCATTAGTGCCGGTCTGTTTTAACAAGTCTAAAATTTCTGCACCCACTACAGCGGCCGTTCGAAATCTGATCTGATTTGTTGCAAAATATGCTTTAGCTTGTTCCAGCAAACATTGATATTCAGCTGATCCCTCAATGTTATCCCGAAAATAACCTTTCGATAGCAAACTTTTTACGTAAGCCTTCCACGCCGGAGAATTTGCATCAGCTTTAACATCTTTAGCCTGTGAGGCCAAGATTTCAAAGCCACAGGCTAATTTTATACCCAGTAAGTCTTCTTTATATTCTTCGGAATTGGGCTTAGCGTTTAAATGCCAACCTATTTTACGATCCGGCGTATAGTCAGTGTGCATAATCATGGCGTACAAACAACGGGTGAAGCAAACATTTGTACGCACCCGTTGTTCAGGTGGGAAGTAACGCATAGAGCGGCAAGCTTTCATATCAATTACATCGCGCTCGCAGAACGCTCTCACTGCGGCAGCAATTAGAGATGGGCGTTTTTTCAATAAAATCGCTACACCCAAAGGCAGGCGAACAATTTGATGATGCAAGGCTAAATTATCAACAGATTCGAATTCTTTAAGTCTCTTATCAATGCAAAATTGAATTTCCTTCGATACTCTATATAAAGTGGGGTTGGAGCGTATTTTCGTAATAGCCGATTCGACAGGCATTATTTTGTTAGTATTCGAGGGAGAATTTTGTACCAAATGCAAGTGGCCTTGAGACAAGTAAACGCGCTGGTCACATGTGTCTGGGTTAGCCCATTTGGGTAAAACATCTGCAGCTTCGATAAGTAAAAACTCGCCGTCGGCGTCTATAATTCGGGCCACACAGTTCGCGAACGTTTTGGTTACTTCAGTTAACAAGAAAACCACAAACCATTCGTCCGCTATATTATCACCGTAATGGGTAACGCCATGCAGATGGGGCGGCAATACAACTAAAAACCAAAACGAAGGAAAATTATCAAAATATGCATTCATTATTATTAGCGTGTAGAGAAAAAATCATGACTCAGTATGTAAATATTTGCTACTCTTCCTTGTCTTTCCCTTCCTTTTTTTTTTTGTATTTTTTTTGTATTTTTTTTTTTTTTCGTTTCTTGCCCTCGTATGTCTTTTATACCAATCCAACTTACCAGCTTCGTGTTGTTCTTTTGCCATTTTGCTTTCCTTGGCATTGGCTGTCATTTTGGTTACTTCATCATTTAAAAGCAACTCCTGTTTACTACACGTACGCACTAACAATTGGAATTCATCTTTATGCCATATATATTTGCGTTCTTTTATTAGATTCCCCACTAGTGCCATATAGTTGTCCTTAATATTTTCCAATTGTTTACGCACATCTTCCATCGATTCATCATCAATATTAGAGGGCGTTCCTATCAACTCCGGAAATAGAAAATATTCAACATAATCATCTTCACGAACAAACTCCAAATTGGCGTCGAATATTTTTGCCATTTTTATTGATAAAGCAACAGAATAAACACGAGGAGTACAAGTTTTTCTATTCTATGCGCTAAGAAACATATATTCCGACTTTTGAATCAATAATTATTGCGATTGTGCTGAGTAGTATTATATAGTTTATTAGCTTTTTTTTGGAACTTATTAATGATTTATATAATAAAATAATTTTTCATATTAATAAAACGAAAGGAGAAATTATTAATAACTTATTTATTAATGTGCTTCTACACGCACACAAGCATCAATGCTATGTAATGTACAAGTTAGTTCTTGCTTTCAGGTAATCTCTTCGTACTAATAGTACTAAACACTTATTTATTATTTGTTTTCATTTTCCCACATGATAGCAAGCATCATTAGGAGAGAGATAACTATACATTACTCTAAACTGTTCTAGTTTAAGTGTTGCCAGCCCGAATCTAATGCAGTGCTATAATCTTTATTTTGCTATAAATGATATATGCATAATTTTGAAGCTATAATAGTATAGCCTATGCCAAAATTTTCTCAAGATTTGAATTTATTATCATTTATGCGGAAAAATGCTGCCAATTCAAAAAAAAAAAAAACAGCTTAACATTGAACAGTTTACGATTAATAAACATGGAACATTATTTTTTTATTTATTTCCTTCCTCTTAGACAAATAAATGCATATTAAAAAGCAAGTTCCTGAGTGCAAGATCAACAATGCAAAATATAATACGCATCATACAATAATATGAAAAGGTGACGATATAATAAAATAAGAAATGTTGTAGCATTATATTATATTTTAGAACTTTTAACTTACAAATTACGAGCTACAGGCTACAAATTGCAAATCACGAATTGCAAATTGCGAACTGACTCCCCAGCCACATAGAAGGATAAAAAAAAATTGAAAGAAGAGGAATTTAAGGAAATTACGCAAGAGATGAATGCGTTTTCATTATCGAACAATATTTCAAAACTAATGAAAGTTTGGCGCCTACATCTCTCAAACTTCCTACACCTTGATGGGTCACTTTGATGGCTTCGTTAATTGTCATAATTGCATCTGAGATTCAGAGAATCCGCACTATTTGACTTTGTGCGAATAGAAGGACGATGCAATCGATTACATTGCGCTCTATCATTCGTAACCATTGTAATCGTCAACTAGTCTTATCAAATGATTGCCCGCGCTCAAGAATGAGGTCAAAATTTTCTTAAGAGCGTAAAGTACTGTAAATTTTTCAAAACACCAATCGACGCTTTAAAGCTTCTAGAATACGCGTGAAAAAAATCGTTTGGGTTTCCCGTAAGCAAAATGTCTTGGACATGACGATTGTCATACGACTGCTATACGTAATTTTAATGAGGATATGACCAGTATTCTAAAAACCTTTGCAATTTTCGAAATGCATATTGCTACCCGTTCATACAGTTTTTGCCTTGAAGCCGACGCTAACCGGATCAAGAAACCTGAGCACATGTGTGGTATACAAGTTATCGCCTCACAATTTACCAATAATGGATTGTAGTTATGTTCTCTAAAGGATATTTGGCGGCACAGCGAATGAGGACAATACCCTTTGCTAACAGAAAATGATTATCTTTCTCATCATCAAGATTTACTGCTGATAATATAAAATGAAAATAATGATCTTAGGTAAAATACTTACTTTCAAAAAAAAAACCTTCACGATAAGAAATTCCGCTTCGAATTTTGAACAATGACTTTTAGTTAAATGAGTCGCTTCTTGTTGCTTAACTTCCTGTTCATATTATAATATGTTACGTCGCGTCTGTATAGGCAACCAAAGCAACTGAATTAAGCTTGCATAAGCAATTACGTTAAATTACATATATTTTTCTTTTTTAGGAATTTATTATAGAAAAATGAATCGTTTTATTATCATGTTCTTATATTTGGATTTTCAATAATTTTAATTAGAATTTTATTAGGATAAGAGAGGAATTAAATTATTCTTTTCGTTTCGTTTTCTATTCAAATCATTTCAGAGATGAAAGATGAAGAATGGATAATATTAAAAAGAATGAAAGGATTAAAGGTTATTAAATAATTTTTCATAGTCATAGAACTTTATTTTTTTTTGCAACTTTAAGATTCTTAATTATGAAAAATTGCATAAAATGCGTACATACAAATATTATAATAAGAAAAAAATTAATAATTTGTTTACAAAAAAAAAAACAGTAAAAAAAAATTTATGTAAAGAGAAAAAATTGTATTCTCAGAAAATGGATATTACGCTCAGCAATATCAAAAAGCGCATTCATAACAATAAACTCTAATGTAAACAAAATCTTACAAAAATAATGCTTGCAGTGGTCGGATGAATGATGCCAAGTGAAGAAATCTTCTCTCAGAATAAATTGAATTTTACAAAAACAATGCTAGCAATGATTTAATAAATGATGCCAAATGAAGAAATCTTCTCTCAGAGTAAATAAAATTTTAAAATAACAATTCCAGTAGTGGTCAAATAAATGCCAAGTAAAAAAATCTCCCGCCAGGGTAAATAAAATTTTTTTTAATAACATTACAATAGTAGTGATTGAATAAATGATGCCTAATAAGAGTACGTTCAAAAATCTGAGTATTCGTTTGCGCTCTGACAACATTTCGGCGCTCAATTGTAAATTGTCATAACAGCAAGTGTGCAGGTTCGATTGATATTGTTTACCAAACAGACATCATACAAAGAATTCAAACACAAACAAACAAGTTGAACATGTCTTGCTCGATGCGATTCGAACGCCAAGAAAAACCTATGAATACTATTATTATTATTATTATTATTATTATAAACTTAGCCAGAGAATAAATTCTAAGACTAAAAAGTCTTAGTCTTAAAGCATTAGCATCTAAGGCTTTCGGCCTTGAGATTTGAACCCACGACCATTGAAGTTGCTAGTCGAGACTCTTGCCTACTCGGCCACTCAGGCGGATATGATGAATACTATAGTTGTGATATGTTAATGAGAATTGATGACTTACTTATTTGAGAATGTATTTATGTATTAGATTAAGTTGAAATGCGCGACGATTAAGCCAACTTGCTCACATTCAACTTTTATATAAATTTTCCATATTAATCTTCGATCAATATATAAGTACAGATATTGTAGACTGGTCTTTCTACGCATATTATTGTCCTTTATATGCAAGTGATTGTTCATATTGCAATTGTTCAGCCAAAGCGAAATTTTATTGAGATGAATTTTTAATTCGCAGCAAACATTCATGAGATCACTAGCACTAGTAATAGCATTACTGTGTCATCAATGTAGATGACAGTTAAAATGTTGTCATTGATCGGAAAATGTAAAGCAAAAATTTTGAAAGGTATTGCACTTAGAACACTTCCCCAGTGCCGCAGGGCATTCCATCTTCACATCTACATTTGATAGGAGTTGGAAGAAGTTTTTGCGAGTTTGAAAAGGAAGAAAGGCCATAATTCCATTGAGACTTATTAAACCGTGTAATTCGGTTACGTGAATGCGTCCTGGAATACGGCGATATGAATATGTAAAGAAAATCGCATAAGAAATGGAAGACGGTCAGGTCAGGTCTAGTGTTCAAAGTAAAACTAAATCAAAATAAAGACAACAGAACCAAAAGTTCGTTTCATACCAAAATCTTTAAATAAATATGCTTAGGTCTTGTCTTCTCATATCAAACTTTTTTTTTTTTTTTTTAACATTGTCACGAATGTGAGATGAACGATATAAGTACCTTGTGCAACTCTCTCTCTGCTTATAAGGATATTTTGTTACTCTCCTGTTTCCTCGTAACTTGCATATTTATATATTTCAAATGTAAAATCAATTAAGTTAATAATTGAGCATATAAAATAACAAATTCTTGTGATATGTTTTATAAGAAAATTTGCAAAATTATATTTATTTTTTAATTTAAATAAATATGCATTCATTCGCATATCAATCTGAATTTTTAGTAAAAAATGCCGTACAGCAGGATCAAACACGCGCTATAGAACCATAAATAGTATAAAAATGTTGCGAGGAGAATTTTTCTAAGCTCTTGTTGATTATCATAGAACGAGTTGCAACTTTTGCTCATTTTCATCAAACACGTTGCAGCCTTTGTTTCGATACGCAACGTTTCTTGGACATGAAGAAGAAGTTGAATGATTTTATTGAAGTTTTTTTTATTTTTTACTTATTTATTTATTTATTTTTTTAAGAAATAACTTTCTGTCTAAAAGCTTGAGAAGCGGTAACGCATAACTCATAAAAAATGATTGTTTTTTTTTTTTTTTTTAGCAAACAAGCTTTCAAACAAGCTTGCAATTGAATTGAAATCGATTAATTTAATTAAGACATTCATTAAGACGTTATTTGAAATGACTGCTTTATTATATAGATAAAGATGAAAATTTACATAAATCATGTTATTAATTAATCAATATATAATAAATTTACACTTATTCTTTCAAATACTTAAAAGTACACTTAGAGTTTAACAATAATCGATGAAGATGTAAAATTGTCAGATTTTTTCAATTTATTTACAAATTATTTAAAAAAGAAAACATACATATATGTGATATAAATTGTTTTTATATTTTGCTTTTTATATAGCGAAATGCTTCTTTAATACGATATTTGCTTCGAAGATAAAAGAAAAAAAAAAAAAGAAAAAAAGATTCCATAAATGTTTATATATAACTTTCTGTTCTGATATTTACACATTTTCCTTAAATTTCTTTTTTTTTCATTTAAATGAAAATATCACAACGTATATCTATAACAAAACACACATGCACTTAAAATAAGAGGAAAAAAAAAAGAAAGGAAGAGAAAGAAAAGAAAACAAAATGGCTTTTTAAAATTATATGACACGTTATCAACGATACCTGATACAAGTTTAGTATATAGCAAAAATAAGATTTCTCAAAAAAAAAAAAAAAAAAATATATATATATATATATATATATATATATATACGTTTTGTTTTAAATCTAAGCTTGACAAACTAAATGTTGCGCATAATGTTAATAGTTAATTACAAAACAAATAATTATAACAGCTTGCATAATAATTAAAAAAATTTCGCCTATATTTGGTAAAAAAAAAATATATATATATATATATATTAATATATAATTATAATAATCGTTGCATAATATGAGTATAAAATAATGAATTATTGCATATGTAAAAAGTTTCTCTTCTTTTGGTTTCGCTTTACAGTCGTCATTCATGTAATAAATTCTTCTTTCTAACCTTTATTTTACAATTTTTTATCTATTTAATAAGCTGATATCACGTTTAGGGTCCGCAGCCAAAGAGCTCCAAGATGTTTCTGTGCACAGTGGTAAACTTTGAAGAGCGGCCGTTGCCAATTTTGTAGCCTCCGCATTAACGGCGCAAGTTTCTCTAATATGATGAAATTTACTCACCATTTCATCGATCCATTCATATAATTCTGATCCCGTTCGAAGGGAATTATGTAATGCCAATTTTTTAAGGTTTTCTCTTTCGACAGCGGAAGGCAAATGCTGTAACCATTCTTGCGGTATTGTGAATTCGGATGATAGAGTAAGACCGCTACCGCCATTAAATATGCGCGCTCTATCGTCTGTCACCGGTTGAGCTTGATGAAATGCTAATGGAACTATAAGAAATTTGATTTGTGCATAAACAGCTGTGCGTCCTATTAATTTAGCTGTCCAAATACCAGGTGCCAATGGTTGTTTTAGTAAAGCTTTTGAGAAATTTATATTATCCGTCTGTGCATCTTCGATATGTATTTCATTGAAATCCTGCAATCTCCCAAGCGGATCAATCCATAACAATGTGAGGTTATAGGAATGTGAAATGTCTTTGTTGCTGCCAGCTCCAGAAAAAGTAAAAGTTAATATTAGATCAGTATAAGGTCCTAAAAATTTCGCAAAATTTCTTGCGATCTGTTCTTTCTGATCGAATTCCGATGAAATCTCAAAGTCTTTCAAACGTTTAGCAAATTTCGAATTCTTAGCCACTTTACTATATTGCACGGGACGAACACGAGTTTCCACTTCATAAGTGATATTTGAAGCAGGATCTAACGTTTCAAATCTTATTAAATAGCCTTTATATTGATCCGAATATAGATAATGATTTAATTCAATAATTTTTTGAACTTTCAAATACCACTGACGCAGCAATCTTCTCGCTAAACTTTCCGCCATTGTCAGGATAAGGTCATCAGTTTTACTATTCATATCTTCCCAGTGATAGAACGATTGCCAATAGGCGTGCAAATTCTTAAAACCGTCCGGATAGGGCCCGTATAACCATTCCTCTAATTTAGTAAGAACCGCTTGATTTATTATTGGTTCAAATTTCCTGGCGAAGAAAAGCATTTTATTTTCAGTATTTTGTAGTCTGGACCAATCTTCCGGTTTAAAATCATTGGGACTGCAGCCACACCAATCCACTACATGCTTATATTGACATTTACAACCCAATTTCCTTTTCCAATTGGTCACATGTAAGTTATTATCGACGTAGGTATGACAGAACAACGAATTCCTTAGAACTGTGTGGAAAAACGATTCGGCCGGTAATAGTGTATGCCTAAATATGGTTATCAAGCCTTTCAGCAATATATCGTTCGCTTTCTGAGTGATCACATATTCGACGAAGGGCCGTGACAATGCCACCCAATCACTTCCGCCATCAATTTGTATGCCTTTCGGCAATTGACGATCGCCCACGCGCCACATATGCGTATCGCATTCGACAAATGTTTTATCGAGACCCTGCTTCTGTATGAAACGTTGAGTTTCGCGGCCATGACTTTTAACAAAATTACGATCCCGATTAGCTGTCAAGAAATCGACCAGTTTTTCTAATTTCTTAACGGGAAAATCGCTTTCACTTAAGTTGATAACAAAATCCCATTGATACGTGGAGCTTAATAAATCTTCCATGCATTTCATGAGCATAGTAAGCAGCGAAGCACCGCCCCAGATCGTCGAGAAACGTGTGCGTGCCAAGCGCGTATTAGGGAATTGCGTTTCCAGCTCAATCAAGTTACGATAGAGATAATCCTGGCGCTAAAAAAAAAAAAA